AATAAAGCAAAGATATCGAAAAGTGCCTTAAAATTTTGTCCGCTGGGCAAAAACGATTTCTGTCACAAAACGAAAACAGCTGAGCTTAAGTTTTCTTATCACTTCAGGTTTGTAGCACGCTCTGAGAGCTATCCAAATCAGTATTCGGATGTCGATAATGAGTGATCTTTCACGCAGAAAAATGAAAAACAAAAGGTGCCTTAAAATTTTGTCCGCCACTTTATGTTATATAATAAAGTATACGATTAGCGATTAAGAGGAGTCATCCCACCCATTTTTTTCAACCAGTTTGTAAAGCACACACTTTTAAATATATACTTCAAGCCTTTTTTTGGTTTCGGGATCCGTAGTTTTTGAGAAAATTTTTTTTAAGTTTAGTATAGGGTTTTTGCCCAAATTTTGAAAATTTCCATAAATATTTCATTTTTCGAGATAGAACCTTGCATCTTTCGTCATTGGAGAGAGCACATTGAGATGTATAAAAAAAACAATTTTTGTCGTTATCGGGTGAAGTCTGACAGAGAAACTTGACTTGCCCATACCATTTCTAGTGCAAAACGGATTTTTAAGAAAGCCTTGAACAGCGTTTCGCTTCAGGAAAGCATTATGGAACAAAAATTGTTCAGCATCAAATTTTGCGTGAAACACCTGAAGGAATTTTCGAAATGTCTTAAACTCGATTTTTAAAGCCCAGAATACTGGTTTTTAAAGTTTAAATTTTCGTAGAATTTCATTTAAAAATTGAGTTTTACGAATTTCAAAAAGTCCTTCGATTTTTTCACGCAAAATTTGATGCTGGACATTTTTGTTCCCACACTTTTGTTCCACAATGCTTTCCTAAAGCAAAACGCTATTCAAGGCGTCCATAACTCACGGTCCGCGACATATTAGAGCAACGTGATAGACTACTATACTCCGTGTGAGCACAAATATGTCATTTATTTGAGAATATAGAAGACAGCACATCACGACATATTGGATCTAAACGTTGTTTTTCTTTATCAACACTTTCAGGCTCTTTCATCAATTTTGCTTTGTGATGCGATACGGTATTGTGAAAAAATTTTCACTTAGCTAAAAATTAGGGAAATCTTTTAGTTTTGAATTTTTTTGTTAAATTTTCCCAGTTTGTAGAGGGCACTTCGTAGTATATGTTCTGAAGTTTTTTCGGCTTACTGGCATTGCCTGGCTCAGGAAAAAATTAATTACTTAAACAAATATTGTTAAATTTTTTAGCACGGAGCTGTTATAAAAGAACTCTAATGAATGAATTGAGTTCTAAAACTTTTAAGCTACTCAATGCTAATTAGTCAATAACAGGAAGGAAAGAACAAAATTTTTACATATGTTTTCGTAGTAAATATTCTCCACACATTTCTCTATTGTTCTAGGCAAGAACCAAGTTTTTCTGATAAATGGAGAATGAACAGGAAGTTTTTTAATAAGTGCCTTGTTCGAAAACTTAATATTTTTTTTACGTAAGTTTTTTCTCAGCCAAATACTGTCAGTAAGCCGACAAAAACGTCAGGATGTATACTTCGAAGTATCCTCTACAAACTGGAAGCGTTGGAGGAAAATCTAAACGCGGAACCTCCCCTTAAAAGAAAAGGCACGAAAAACTTCGAGCAAAGAAGCACGAGACACTCGAGTGTGAGAAAAAATGTTTCTTTACCGAATGCAACGAAATAAATGATATAACTGACGATAGTGTTCAATGTAGTACTATTTCTCCTTAAGAATTAAACGAAAGAAAGATTGAATCACTGGTCTGGAGATTGTTTTCTTTGTGCTGTTTCGTCTTCTCCCTCATCTTTTTTATTCACCTAGACCGTTTTGTGCAAAAAATTATCATTATTTCGTTTCTGACGAGAGAAATACGCTCTTTCATTTAATCGTATGTCCGTCAACTTGGATATATATCTTGAATTTCATTTCGTATAGCTATAAGAAAAATTCAATCCATTGAAACGAAAGAAAGCATGAGTTTTGATCTTATAATCGAATATATATCCGACTGTTGACGAAATAAATGATAAAAACTCAGGCGATTTTTTCTTTCGTTCGTTCGTTTCGCTATATTTTAAAAAGTGTATCGCTATATTCGATGTAAGTTCGGGCCATTAGTAGAGAGACATACATGAATAAAACTTTAGGTTTACTGCTCATCATGGGGATGTTTGTCCTTTTATACTCACTCAGACTGATCTTTCGTACGTACGATCTTCTAAGATCTTATGTCGGATGTTATCTCATCCTATCTGGTCTTATACGATTCTATAAGACACAGACAAGATCTTATACGAGATCATACGCCATCGTATAATCAGATTCCTTATGTGATCTTATGTACGATTTGGATGTGGCCTCTGACCGTAAGATCTTAGAAAATATTTCCAGTTGGGTATATCAAAAGACTTGGTTTTGTAAAATGATTGTAATGTTATGTTTTTCTCTTAGTTAGATCATAATATTTAGCAATTGTTGCAAAAATGATTGTTTCCAATGCTAATACCGTTCGGATTCCAATGATACAAAGTATAATTGACTTTTTTTCAATAGTCGAATTACTAATTAAAGTTTTTTTCTGTTTCTAAGCTGGTTGTATGAAAGCTGAATTTGACAATACATACCCAGTGCATCTTAATGGTATCATCAGTCCAGAAGATTTTCAACGTTCAATAGTGAATATAAATCGTTCATGTTCTTCATCAAAATTTTCAAAAATATTGGTGTTATTTGTGAGCCTGTGGATGATTGTTGGACTGGTTATGTTCATTAATGGTGGAATTAGTGGTGTAAGCTCGCAAGGAAGAGGTTTTCCTTCTTCGGTCATTGTAGGTTCTGCCATGTGGGGAACCGGGATACTGATTATCGGTTTTGGATGCATGGCTATCCGATCAAGACGTTTGCAGCGACTTCGCCAAACTGTTGCTGATGAATCAATTAAATATTCATCATCCTCTACACCTGCCAGTTGGAGAATAGATACATTGCAATGGTATGGATGGCAACAAAGAAACGTTACATATAATGTATGTAAAACTCTCCAAAATTATTTTTCATTTTTCTTTCTCGACACATTTTAGTTGGTTATTGATCTCGGACCAAATGTTGCTTATACACAAAATGTTTATCCCACACCCAACTATTCTACTGCACCACCTGGATACGAGCAATGTATCGGACCACAATCTTCGTCATCCTACAATAATCAAGAACAACCTGTCACATACTGTTCTAAATGTGGTACAGTTCGACAAGATCATACGGCTAACTTCTGTTCATCGTGTGGACAAAGTTATCAGAAATACTAATTATCATTATCTCAGAATATTTTACTAGATTTTGTCGAATTATAACCTTCATATACGAGGTAAACTTTAACTTAGAACTTTTTTAAAAAAGTACGGTAAAAGGCGGGGTAGTATTTTTTATGATCCAAAGACAGCGAAAAATTATCTATATATATATATATAACTCGTAGATATGGTTCTATGGATAGAGAGTATACGATTGTACGAGTCTGAATTTTTAAAAAATATTTTCTTATAGAAAAAGGTTGTTAATGAAGTTTTTAGTCAATATGATGTAAAAACTCATATTCCTGGACTACCGGAAGGGAGACCAAATCGTAGCACGGTTAACCTTATTCGCAATAGTAATGAAACTTTTTTTGGTAGATCGTGTAGGTTTGTCTAGACTGTCCCTTAATAACCTTACGTGCTTCTACAAAATTCTAGTATTAGTGTGTAGACAACTTTTTTTGTTGTACTTCTGAATATTTCTTCTGTATATGGTTGGCTGTACATTGACTGAGAAAGATGATATTTTATTGTCTGCTTGTAATATTCTTAACGCATAAACTAGCCAATGGTTCGTTGCATATTTTTCTCTCTATTTCTGCATATGAATCTAAATTTTGTTAGGTAGTCAGCACCCGTAAGGTGGTACTACTAATCCCTCTATTTGAGGTATTTAAATAATAATAAAGCTGTGTACAAACAAATATGGTTCTGTGGATCTTCATTTAAGGATCTCTGGAAAACTAAAAAGGCTTTGGGGGCTTTTAAAGATGTTGACTTTCTGGAAAACCAACAAAGGCTCTATTAAAAAATATGATCCCATCAGCCCAGTGTCTAGTTTGAAGTGAAACTTACCCGCGGTCTCTGACTTGAAGTATATGAAAAAAGTGCTGAGAAACATATTGTACTTGAAAAGTTTATGGTAACTTTTGATAAGAAACAAAACTTTTTGCACTTCGTCTCTTTTGTTCTGTTTGAAACAAATAATTATAAAAATATGTTCTCTTATCAACATGGTTCATTTAAAACTCAACGGTTACTAGTCTTATATTCCACAGAGATATCTGCTATCTAGTTCCATTACGATCCATTGTTTGGACTATAATATTTACTGGTTTTCGAATAGAGCCCTGTAGGTTAACCTAAACCTAACCTAACGTAACCTAACCTGATTAGGTTACGAAGGTCGTAGGTTGGGATAGGTTCAGGTTATGGGAAATTTTTTGTAATTCTTTTTTTGAATGAATAGAAGTAGTAGACTATCTTGCTTCGTAACAGATTCAGGACAGACTGACGTCAAGCTATCGTTCACTGCTATAATTCAGAGGTTAAAATTGACGTTCGATTGGACAGATTTCAAAACCAATGCAATAAACACTATAAACATATTTTATTATGGGAGTGATGATTTGTTAATTGAATGCTATTTCAGGAAAAAATGTCGTAAAGAGCTTGGAGACGTCTGATTTTATTCAGAAATGTTTGCTCTACAGGATAGAGCCATTTGCAAAGCAGTTTTAGATTTAGCTCGAGGATCTGGTTAGGAAAAATACTGAAAAACGTCTGTGTTAGAAACCCTATAACTCGTTAAAGAAAAGTCTAAAATAAAATTCAAAAGGAGTACCGCTGCAATAGTGTCTTGAGTACCTCTCGTAAAATTTTCAACTCAATCGGATGAGTGGCACAACGAAGCCGGGTAACCAAAAGATAGTTTTCGAGAAAAAACGCATTTTGGGACATAGATCACTTTTTTCAGGGCAGTTGCCGTGGTGCTTCTGTCTTCACGAAAATTCATCAGAAAATTTTGGAAAACGTATCATTGTGAACAAAATACTTTCTTATACCAGACTATGTGTAAGAGAAATTTTCAATGTACAGAAAAGGATAGAAAAGTTTATGAAAGTAAAAAATTGAGTTTTTTATGGCTTTGAAGGAAAAACTTTAAAATGCATAACTTTTTGAAGAAAGATCGTGGAGTACTGGGAGAGGTCTCATTTTGTACCCCACACTTTCCGCTACATTAGGCTATGCTCAGCACAAAATTCGGAATTTTTTCAAAAACGAGGGGTACCCTTAAATATACACAAACTCCACGTAACTAAATTCTGGTAGAATTCTAATTATATATCTACCAGAATCTGATCAGAATCTAACTACTGTAGAATCTTAATAATACTCTGTGCTGAATAAGTTTAACTAAAAGGTTTAATTTCCTTTTTTGATCATTACTGCTGCATACTTCTGTCAGTCTTAGGAATTTCTACGGGATTGCCTCGACACTGCTGCTTGTTTCATCTTAGTTAATCAACCATTAACTATAATAAATACACCTATTTATTAACAGAATTTATTCATGCACACTAAGCTGTAAAACTTGAGAAAAAAATTAACCAATTTTTTTGTGGAATGCCGTAGGCACAAAAACGTTGCGGGTAGAATTTTGAGAAATTGGGAGCTCCAAAAATGTTAGAAAATTATTCTAGCATGTTTCTGGTCAAAAAAAAAACAAATTTGTTCTGGGAAAATTTCTTATATTACGCGTCCTTTTGTCTTCTAAGAAATATCAGCTACTAACATGTTGAAGCTCTGCACAAATAATGGTGAATTTAAGATGCGTGGGATATGTACGGATATGTACGGATATGTATTAAATTATTCGTTCAAACAATTATTTTTGAGACCAACAACATAAATTTAGATGAAAGCTTATGTTGGTGACCTATAATCAGGTGTTTCGGCGTAACTGAGTACAGTTGACGTCACAAATCTCTGCGTTTTCCAGCGACTTCGTTTCCTTTTTCGATGATAATCGTGTTAAACAATGTCTTTTTCTTAAAGCGTCAGGTGGTTCTAAGAATTGAATTAACGTTTCTGACAGTTTTATATTGCCTGCTTGTTGTCGCCTTGCTCACACTGAAACTCTTCCTCGTGCTTTCGCTGGCTAGACAGAGCCCACCCGTGCCAAGCAGGCTTCATTCTCTTACCGTTAGCAGATGCTGGCTCGGACTTTTCGAGTGGAATCATCAATATCTCTCGATTTTCATCGTGATCTAGAGCTGTTTTGTACATTCACATTTCCGGATGACGTTCATGATGGTTTCTGAACTTGCTACGACTAATTTCGGCTCAATTTGACTCAATTTCGGACACATTGGTGATGATTTATTTTAATCGAAAATTTACAAAAGAAGTATTTTACTACAAAATGGCATCAAACTTAACTTGGACAGACATTAGTGGTTGCTTAAAATCCGATTTTAGGGAAAAGTAGTTGATTTTTTCCGATTTAAAATTTTTGAAAGCTTGATTTTTTCTAAAATTAATTTCATTTGAAAGCTAGTACACTTTTTCAGGTTTTCTCCTCCTTTCGAATCAACTATGTTTGAAATTTTTAAGTTAAAGGACGGAAAAAACATAAAATACAAAAAACTGCGATTTTTGACGGATTTTTTTTAGAGATGTTTCGGACGACGTTCTGTATTAGCGTCATTTTCGATTTCTAAGGTCTAGAAACTTGGACCTATAGTTCATTTTGAATGCTTATCCAGTCGTTGCACATGTGAGAAGGGTAGGTCAGTTTTGGCTTGATATTTGATTTTCTCAACGGTAGTATGGATTGTCTCTTAAAACTTCTAAAACTTTCTATCGTTTCTTTTACTTCCACTCTTTGACCTCTTGTAGCTTTGATAGTTCTGTCTTGTCATCGACTTCAGTTTGCTGTTAATGGTTTCACATCGTTTTTAACGAGCAACATTTCTCTTATCGAAATCTGAATTTAATCATAATATTTTCTTGTACATAAACATGCATATACAGAAATATCAGCAGGATTATAGAAGATCAAACATGTACCGTTATGTACATAACTGGATCCAGTTATGGAACTTAGACGTTAAATAAGAAGTGATTGTTATACAGATCTCTCAGAAGCAAAACTGCATTTTCCGAGTAAAAAGGTTCCATTTGTCTTCTTTTTTTAAATAGTCTCTGTAATGGGCGTCGTTAACATCAATTATTCTATGCAAAATATTTACTTTGTATAATGTTCAGAATTGTAAAACCAGGATAGAAAATAGATCTCATATTACTATTCATTATTCAAGAAAGAATATAACTTATTCAGCAAATAAAAGACGTTTCCAATAAGAAGTGCTCTCGGCAAAGCACAGCCCAAACAATCGGTTCAATTCCTAAGCAAGGTTTTAGCTAGCCAAGGAATTGTACAACACATATCAAATCAGTTTTGTTTCACTTCAAGATCCGTATTTTATCTCAGAAGCTATTTCTCTACAGAAATAAGGATTGTTCTTTCACTGCTTTTCTCTTCTATTAACCATTGCCAACATAAACTAGTAAAATTAATCAGCTTTTAAAAGCAGCTGTTTTTGGACGAGGATTTTTCTGTGCACGGTTTTTTCCAGAATTAGGCACGGTTTGCTGTTTTCCGTGCACTAAAAAATCTTTTGACATTTTTGTGCACGGTTACAGAAAGATGCAC